ATACAATACAAACTTATAGAATACAGTGCAATACAATATAATACGACGAGAAAAACACAATATATTACAATATCAAGCAATATAACAGAACGCAATACAAAATAATAACATACAACACAATACAGTACAATACAAAACAACACAATAGAAAACAAAGCAAAAAAATACAATAAAAAACAAAACAATACAATACAATACTATACAAAACATTACAATACAATACAATACAATACAATACAATACAATACAATACAATACAATACAATACAATACAATACAATACAATACAATACAATACAATATAATACAATACAATACAATACAATACAATACAATACAATACAATACAATACAATACAATACAATACAATACAATACAATACAATACAATAGAATACAATACAATACAATACAATACAATACAATACAACACAAAACAGTACAATACAATACAATACAACACAAAACAATACAACAAAAAAACAATTAAAAACAAAATAACACAAAAAAATATACTACAATAAATTGCATTACAAAAGGATACAATACAATACAAAATAGTACTCTAAAACACAAAAAATCCCAAAACAAAACATTACACTACAAAACAAGTCATTACAACAAAAATAAAACAAGATGATACATAACATTACAATACAAAACAAAACAATAAATTAAATTAAACTACCGAACAAGACAATAAATTAAAGGGCATTACGATACAATACATCACAAAACACTACAATATAAAACAATACAACACAAAACAATACAAAAAAAATCATTCAAACAATACAAAACAAAAGAAAACAAAATAATTCAATACAAAACAGTACAACACAAAGCAATAGAATACAATTCAATACATTACAATACACTACAATAAAATTTAATACAAAAAAATATAAAACAAAACAAAGTGAAACAAAACAACTCAAACCAACACATTTCAAAACAAAATGTATCGTTTTGATTTATTTTTGTATTGTAATATGAAAAAATGATCTTCGTTTCATATTTTTTTGTTTTGTTTGTTTGTCATTGTGTTTTATTGTTTTGTAATGATCTGTACTGTATTGTTTTCTATTGTTTTGTATTTTTTTATGGAATTTTGTTTTGTTCTGCATTGTATTGCATTGTATTTGTTTGTATTGTGTTGTATTGTATTGTTTTGTATTGTATTCAATAAGTCTTCAAGGCAAATGACGGTGATCAAAAATGAATAAAGTTTGGATTCAACGTTCGAAATTTATTTTAAAAAATGTTTTTGCATTTATTCACCCATGTCAGAAATTCCTAAAAAACTGGTTTGTACGAACGTTAAATCCCCATTAATTCCAAGTCATCACAAAAGATGAGGAGTCTCGATATTCATCCAGAAGAATTCGCAGACAAACTAATGTAATTGAACAAATGAAGGACATAGTGTGAAGCTGGTGAATTGTGTTTTAGACCATTTCCCCATTCTAAGTACCAAGACAAGACAGCTCGAATATAATACTCAATGGAAGCAAAATCAGTCAAGGGGTAGTATTGTAAATACTACACGGACAAAGGACCACTGTCTAAATAGTTTTTTTAACGACCCAAATCGAAATCGAAGTGTGCCATTTATTTAAAGCTTTTTTTCACTACGATACGCTGACTGTTTTTATTCTTGTTAGGACTATAAAATCTAGTTTTAAAAACCAACTACTTTTTAAATACTTGTCCAATTTTTCTGATTTTTTTGTGCTCAGTATTTTGAAAAGGTCGGCGATTGCTAACACGTCACTTTTAATTATAACTTGAAATAAGATAGATAAATATTTAGCAGTCTTGCCGGCTGCACTGGAATTCTCCTTGCTTTGATAAGCAGAGATGCACCAGCAAAATGATCCATCAGAGAAAGTACTATGAATTTTTAAAAAGACCGAACTGAAGGCTGCGGTTTTAATCAAAGGGGACGAAAAAATCAAATAAAATCTATTTGAAAATTCCCTTATGAGGAAGGGAGAAAAAAGGAGCAGGTGAAACTTGAATAACTAAAGATGAATCAGCCGCGGGTTTATGCTTAAGAGCAAAAGAACTTGCCTTACTTCTTCAGTGTTTCATTTTGCTCAGCCAGCAGCAAGTCTTCTACTTTAACAACTTCAGTCTAAGAATAAATAATTTTTCTCTTTCACTTTTACAAAATCATAAAAACTAGTCTTTTTTCCAATAAAACAGAAAAACAATTTTCTTTGGAACTTCGATAAACAGTAAATCGATATAATTACGATCGAGAAAACCCTGAGTACAAATATAAACGGACAAAAGTCCTCCAGACGAACCAACAGAAGTGGACTCAACCAAGATTGACTCGAGAATCCTACCCAATCGACAACCTTATTAAGAAGAAAAAATATTAATTGCAAATAAGAGTAAACACTCCATTCCTCATAGGTATACTTCTTCAAGCTGTTCGATTCATGTATATAATATAATAACCCTGTGCTTTGTATTCACCAAGCTAATAAATTCATACTTTTTCTAACTATTGTTTCTACTATGACGTTTGTCAAGAAAATTGACGATCTTAGGTGAGACTTATAACTTAGGATAGATAACTAAGCAATCAACCAGCAATTATCGCTCAGTATAATTGCACAAAGCTGAAAAAACAAGTACAAGATGCCTAACGTAATACAATCACTAGATAACGATGCCCAAATTTTATTTCAGCCTGTGACAGAAACTTGATTCAAGTCTTCGTCATTGGATCCGAAATAAGCATTTGGTTAATTAAAACTTTCAGAAAAAACTAGCAATCAAGAAAATTTCACCTTTTCATGGAAATATCACACATCTACTGCATTTTAAGAGGTAGAAGGAGATTAGAACTACTCAAAAGTCAAAAAGTTAGTCTTCAAAGGTTCGAAAAAATAAAATCTCGATGAAAGGATAAATTTGGCTTTCTTATGGTTTTATTATATCAGGACAGGTATAAACAAAAGTAAAGAACACAAAAAACCAGAAGTTTTACAGGAGTGAAACATAAAAAGGCAAAAAATTCAAGATATTTTAAAGTTGATGGCGAATATTACCAAATGAAATACCTCAAAAAAGCAACACAAAAAAATGCCAGCCACAAAGGACTAGGGGCACGCCTTGAAGAAGAAAAAAAAAGGTTCAAAAGAAGAAGGCAGTTCTAATTACCGAAGCATAAGGGCCAGACAACAAGACAAGTTACAACTCTGGAAAGCGGATTTGGATTGGGAGTAGCAGGAAGTCATCACAATCAGAGAACAAAGATCAAGAGAGAGTGATTCTACCGGCACGGATGACCCGCACTCAGTAAAAAGAGAAAAAATAGATTATAATGGATTTTTATTGCAATTCTCCATAAATTTCAAAAAAAATTGATTATAATCGATTAAAAATGGATTATAATGTTACCATTTTTCGAAACAAAAGAAAACATTATAATCGATTATAATCGATTATTTTTTTTAAAAAATTTCTCAAACTTTATTAAATTATATCATTATAATTATAATTATTGAATCCAATGTTATTCTACAAACGTCATCACTTCATTTCGTTTTATTTTTGTCAGTCCAGGAGGACAATTTGGAGGTTGAACATTTAAACATATATATTCGTCGCTGAGAAAAACAAGCTCCAGCAGAATGACGCCATCTCCAAAAGATTATTCCGAATTTGTAAAAGAAAAAGAAGCTGGACATACATGCACGCCGATAAAGAAACCATCGATTTTGTAAATGAAATCACTACAACTAGAGATGTCGAGCTTACCAGAGGGAGCAATGGCATCAAAACAAGCAAACATTTCTTCGTCAACAACTGCATTTGACACGTTTAGTTCAACGCCACCGACACCCCCAGAAGTTGTTTTATCACCACAGAGTTTTACCGGCCATCCGGAGTTTTCAGCGGGAAAAAAAACACGAAACAATGGATCGCAACTTTCGAAAGTTTCTAACAGGTCTTCGGCAAGGGCAAAAAAGTCGACAAAAATCCATCTCAGATTTGATAACATACATTACGATATCCAAACTTGAATTCACTTCTTATTAAACTTAATAATTTTTAAACAATTTTAGTCTTTTGATAACTCTAGGAATTGTCGGAATTACTGATGAATCTGATAAACAATATATTTTTGTTTTATCAGATTGGTGTATATAAAATCCTAAAATCAAAACCCAAGTCCTATAATCGACCATTGAAAATCGTTTTTATTGGAGCCGGTGGAGGGAGCGTTGAGCGGAGCTGAGCAGCCACTCACTCAATTCCGGTGGGCTGGTTTTTTATTATTTTATTTTCCTGGTTCATAAATTGAATTTAATCTTTGTGTAGCCGTTGTTCATTTTCTTCATAAGGCGTATAAGGCGTAAGGAGCCACAAGAAACTAATTTTGAGGGTATAATTGATTGTAGTTCCTGCGAATCGCAGAGGAGCTATCAGTAGGCCTTAACAGTCCCGTCGAGGGAAGTCCATTTGAATTATCTCCCCACATTCCAGACAGTGTTATTTAGCTGAGCTAAGCTGTTTTTTTTTTGCGACTCAAGGCCGTTTTCTTGCGTCTAGAACTTTTACGTGGTACCACTATTGCAGCTAAATTTGGTCAGGTTGTGGTAGACCTGAAGCTGGAGGTCAAGTGAGAGCTTGTCCTCATACACTATCATTGCCATGGCATGGGATCGAATACACGATCAGACGATTTCAAAGTTAACGCATTACCGTTGTGCTAAGTGCTTCTGTAAACTGGGAGTAAAATACAATCATCTTGTAGATTCAGAAAATGATGACCATGTACTTCATTTTCAAAATTCTTGTTTATACATTTCCTTCAAAATAAGTTTTAAAATTTTATTTTTGAGATTAGTATAAAAAGTAGGAAAAAAGTTTGCTATGATCGTTTCACTAAAAACTTCAGTGATCTGTCAATTGTATGTTTTAATAGTAAACTTCGCTATCAAAGTTAACAATAACAATTTACTCAAATTAGAGTCAGAATCACTATAAATGATGTTCGTTTGGACAACAAACTAATATGAACTCAAGCTGATTTAAACACCTGAAGTCCTTTTAATGAATTCATGAGGAACTACTTATTACTTTAAAAGCCATAAAACTTTCGCGATTATTCAGTCTACATTCAAAAGTTATTCCCAAAATAATAGAAAAACATCTTTTTTCCGATTTCAAAAACTATTATAAAAATTAACTTGAAAAACATCTACAAAAAAAACTGATCGATCGGATTTTGCTTGAAGAATACTAGCCATGAAGCGTTGTTTAATTTTATTAACGACATTTTTCTACATTTGTTTATTTTGCCCCAAAGAGGCCTATGGTAACACGGCGTTCGGCAGGTAAGCGGCGGTGGCGGCGGCGGAAAATTCCCTCTAACAGAATGCACGAAATTTACGTCAACTTAGAATCAGTTGCAAATTTATTGAGGGGTCAATTTATCTTAAAACGTTTCTCAAGACTTTTTGAAGGGGGAGCAGTGGAGCGGTAATGGGTTTAAGGTGTGGGTGTGTGTGGGGGGGGGGGGGGGGGGGGAGGGGAGGTTTGTGTGTGTGTGTGTGGGGGGGGGGGGGGGGGCGATTTGCGATTTGTTCAAAGCATTCCAGAAATTGCCCCAAAACTTTGATTGTGGCCTGTTTTTTTTGTCAGAAAATATTGACAAAAGAGTTTTCATAGTTTTTTGGGAACCCAACGAAAAATAATTTGGCCTATCTAAAAAAGCGGCGAAACTTTCTCTTTTTTTGAAAACCTGCCCCTTCTCCCCGAGAAAATTGATTGCGGCGCTGATTGGTTGAAATTTATCGCAAATTAGGCCCTTCTGTCATGACAATATACCTGCAACTCACCCCCCCCCCCCTTCCAGGTGCGCCAAAGTGGAGGCAGTTCCGGTGGACGAGGACAGGTGGGGAGGAAAGTGGTTTGTGCAGAAACGTGTGGACAACCTGAGAGAGATGGGAAACATATGCAACTTCATACAGGTGTCACTCGGCACTTACAATGAGAAAATTGGTGAGTCTCAAAAATAATTGGAAAAAAAAAAATTTCAATTTTTTCATTTTTTTTCTTCAAAATTGTCTTTTTTTGAAATTACTTAGGACCTCAAATGAAGTTGAACAAATCAGGCTACGACGAAGATAAGGACTGTTACAGCTCTGAAACTCTCTATGCCAATCATCCTAACCAGACAATTGGCGCATTCGTAACTCCAGTTGGGGTGCTGAACTACCTCAACCGGAAGAGAATAAATTTCTCCGTCATTCATTTGGAAGACAAATTTGCTCTGACTTACGCTTGTGTCAAATCGGGGGTCCTGAGATTGGAGCAGATTTGGGTTTTGTCACGTGACCAGAGGGTGAGGAGACGCTATATGCACATGGAAAGACTGGAAAGAATTCTGAAGTCGAAAAATCTGCACGATCTCGAGACATACGATGTGCGCCAGAGGTACTGCCATCCGGTGGAGATTGAAATTGAGCCAGTGAAAATCATCGCCGACTTTTGGGATAGAGTTTACAAATCGCACATGAAGTCAGCTTAAAGTAACTCTTCTATTGCATGTTAAAATTAATGCCAAATTGGCACAACGCGAGTGATCAAAAAATTGCGTCAAAAAGTAATGTTTGATAGATTGAATAGATTTTTGACAGGCTTTCGAAATGAGCTGATATGAGTGAAAAACTTATTTACGCCGTCAAAATTAGCAGTATAGGTTAATTAACTTCCTAGGATTTTTTTTATTTCCTTAAGATATTTGATGAAATCACGTAGTGGCTCCACAAAAACACTCGTTTTGTGATTTTTTGTGTGAATATATGTCGTAGATAGAAGTTTTAATTTTGTATTTTGGAAAATATTTATTTGAACTTAGAAGCGAATTTGTAACAAAAAAGAAAACGATTTTTCTATCCTATAATTATTGAAAAAAATATAATAAAATAATTATTGTTTTAATCAAAATATGGTGGGGAAGACCTGAGACATGCAATGTGCGCTTCAGGGTCTGAAACGCACGTTTATGCATGTCTCAGATTTTCCCCCACCATAATTTGATTTAAGAAAACTAATTTTTGAACTAGTTGGTTTTTTTAATCAAAATATGGTGGGGAAAGACATAAATACGGTAGTTTATAAGTTTATTAAAAAAACAATAACTGAAATATTGATATTGTTCATTTATTGGAAAACTCTGATCATACAGTTTTTCTACATGAAATTTAATTGACGAGCATTTTTTTTGACAAAAATCAAAAGCTCAGTTTTGACAACCAAAAATCAGCAAAAAAGCATGTTTACGTGATTTACGGTTGCCTAAGAAACGTTTCTAAATACCTTCTGAAAGTTCAATTTTTGTATTGGAAAAAGCTTATGAAACCTTTATTATTTGAGGAAATAGTATAAACAAATAAAAGATCTACCATTTTGACAACCAGATAACTTCAAGACTGTCATATAGACAACAATATTGTTTGAAAAAACTTTAAAAAGGTCGCCCCCCTCCCTTCCACCTAAATCCGCCACTGCAGCAAGATCAATTTTTTGTCTTCCGTGAGAACAATTCCCTTGAGCGAACAAAGCTCGCTAGGTAGAAAAAATCTTAACGGTATGGTTGGAAAAACAGGAAACTTCTTCAAGGCAGCGATCATTTTCAGATTATTCTTTAGCACTACCAACCATGGTAATTTGTATCCATTGTACAAAGGCCGACTAAAAGCTGATTCAAAGCTCTCCATTTTCTATTTTACCCAGCCAAACAACTCACCTTTTCTGCTCAACCAGATGATTATTTTCAGCTAATTGATTTGGAGAATCACATCACTGAATTGCCACATACGTCCTTCGTCCTTGGTAACTGCGATCTACAAATTCACTTATGTTCTCACCAACTTGGATCGCTTGTAAAAAAAACTTTCGGAAAAGCTTAACGCCAAAATTACAGCCTCAAAAATTTTGCGTATGTTTTCTTTTCTCGGTTGCATAGATGACCGAACACCGTTGCCAGTTCTGAACATAGACTTTCTTCAATTAGATTCAAATAATGTACGTTTTATCTACCAGAAATATTTAACCAGCTACATACATAGTAAAAAGTTAAATTGTACATCTGGTGGCAGGGTTGTTAAAATTCTGTTTTTTTTTCTAACAAAAAGCGTTTCAAACGTTCAAAATGTTTTAAACCTTTTAAAACACTGTTTAAAATCTGAACTCGAGAAAAAACTTAAGTTTCAGAAAACTTTATTGCTCGGATAAACTCATTGAGAACACGAAACTAGAGAGTCAATTTGGAAACTTTCTGTGGTCCAAGTCGATTTCTTAAATCGCTTTGGACAGAGCCCATTGAGCTGAAAGTTGAATCAACAACACATTGCGGGAAAATTCCATAAACTTCGATGCTTGTATTTTGTGGAAAAGCGGAATAAACAATCATAGAAAACAGCAATAAAAATCAAACGTTTAAAATACTGTTTTACACACTGTTTAAAACGTATGGTGTTTTAAACAAAAACCCTGCCTGGTGGGAAATTCAAATGAGCAGATTTATATCGAGTAGATTAGCCTGGAGAGGAAAAAACATAGCCAATTTTCATCATTACTAATATAGATTCATCGAACCATACTTATAAAAAGGACTGTTAAAGTTTTTTTTCCCGTTATTACCCGTTACCCGTTATTTAAAAATTGCTGAATTTAAATTACACAAAACAAATGTTAAATTCATTTCATTTGAGATATTACAGTAAACATGTCTGGCATGTATGTCTATCGTCTTTTTATATCAGTTGAATTTGTCAGACGGGGTAGTAATTGCTCCGACCATTGAAAATGGGAAGGAACTTTGTATTCTGGGGTGCTTTAGTTATTTTTTTTTCGCGCAAAATCAGCCACCACAAATAATCATCGGACTGGGCTGTGTTATATATCATATTAAAGCCCTTTCAGTCATGATAAAGCCCTTTCAGCCCCTCGTGTCGAGAAAAACAGGTTTGTAATTTTTGATTTTTCGTCGTAATTTGAGCAAATAAAGCAAGCGAGCAGCTGAAATATGTCTAATTATGTCTACAACAGTTGAATTGTGCCTATTTTGAGAGCCTAAAACTTAATGTTTTTTTTGGAGTTTTCTAGTTTTATTTTGGGAACCAAGAATTTCGAAAAGTTCAAATAATTTTTTGCAAAAGCTTATTATTTTTTTTAATTTTCTAGTCATTTTTCTACAAAACTTTTTGTCCAAATTGCTTAATTACTATGACTGTCTAATGTGCCTAAATTAAATGTTTACGTCAAATCTTTTTATCAAACCAAGCAGAAAAACTACACTAATTTGGAAACAAACTTTCCAAGCAGTAGTTTTCTAAGGATTATGGTCGGAACATTCTGTGCTACTTGCGCAATAACCGACTATCCTTGTCTGATTTGTTAATAGATTATTTTTCTATTAAATACCAAACTTTTAAGATCTTTGGTCAATTTATGCACTTTCTGAAATACTTGAGAACAGATTTTTTTACTTGCCCAACTTTGATTGATTTCATCTAAGTTAATAGATTCACATACGTGTAAAATTTCAGTTTTAGATTAGAAACATTTTATTATAGTCCTGCCTTCTGGCCTAACGATAGCATTGAATACCTCTTTCCAACCTCATGCTCAAGATTGCTCTTTCTCTGAATTCCATCTGTTGTTCTTTGAAACTCCGCACAACGGCCTTTTGTTCTTTGCTGGCTAAAATAAAATTCTGGAATTATTTTAGCCATATAATCTGAGCTTAACTGCTGCTAATTAAGGACTTTTTTCTAAAACCACTAATTCAGCTTCTTATGTTCGATAAACATATAGCTCGCAAAAGGACAGCGAATCCAAATCCTCTTTACACCTTTATCCCCCAAGTGAATCACGATTTTAAAAATCTCATTCTTTTTCGAATTTATTTCCAAAAATTTTTACTTAGAAGACATTCAAGTTATTTTTTGTTCATTAAGTGTCATATAACGATATAAAGACGTCTTTAAATCGTATTTATACAAAAAAAAATCAAAGCACTTTATTTACCAGCTGAAAGTACCAGCTGAAAGTATCTTCAAATATGTATGCGCAAGTCATGTTTTGATTGATATTATACTAAAAAACAGCATAAACTAAAAATACACTTTAGCTTTATTTGATAGTATCACAACCATACGGAACTTTCGCTTAGAAAATTGGAATAGTTTCATAAAATTTTTCAATTGATTGCCACAAAAGTAACTAATAACTCTGAAATTTTATTTTTGCTTTTATGTAAGCAAGGATAGTCTTCAAATTGAATAAGTCATCTAGTAACCATTTCCAAATTTTCACTGAATTCTTCGAATGAGCTACAGTCGATAACTACTGTGGTGGCGCAAAATAGTCTGAGATGAAATTAAAATTCATGAAGCCGCCCAAAACTACGACCAAGATATGGGAGACAAGTGGTTTCAACGATACAAAGACCTAGAGGAAAGCAGGAAGCAGTTTAGAAGTTTGTGTCGGATAAAACGCTGACGGACAACGTTCAGCACTACCTCAAATAGCCCTACCTGGACTTCTTTAATAAGAGTTTTCAATTAATTGCACAATAATCTGGCAAAAAGTATTTTTTTTTAAAGGGGAAGTATTGTTTCAAAAAAAATTCATGGCTTTTATTTGGAGCTTGTTTTGTCGACTTAGTTGTAATACTATGAATAAACAATCATAGAAAACAGCAATAAAAATCAAACGTTCAAAATACAGTTTTACACACTGAATAAAACGTATGGTGTTTTAAACAAAAACCCTGCCTGGTGGGAAACTCAAAAGAGCGCGTTAGCCTGGAGAGGAAAAAACATAGCCAATTTTCATCATTACTAATATAGAATCATCGAACCATACTTGTAAAAAGGACTGTTAAAGTTTTTTTCCCGTTATTACCCGTTACCCGTTATTTAAAAATTGCTGACTTTAAATTACACAAAACAAATGTTAAATTCATTTCATTTGAGAAATTACAGTAAACATGTCTGGCATGTATGTCTATCGGCTTTTTATATCAGTTGAATTTGTCAGACGGGATAGTAATTGCTCCGACCATTGAAAATGGGAAGGAACTTTGTATTCTGGGGTGCTTTAGTTATTTTTTTTTCGCGCAAAATCAGCCACCACAATTAATCATCGGACTGGGCTGTGTTATATATCATATTAAAGCCCTTTCAGTCATGATAAAGCCCTTTCAGCCCCTCGTGTCGAGAAAAACAGGTTTGTAATTTTTGATTTTTTGTCGTAATTTGAGCAAATAAAGCAAGCGAGCAGCTGAAATATGTCTAATTATGTCTACAACAGTTGAACTGTGCCTATTTTGAGAGCCTAAAACTTAATGTTTTTTTTGGAGTTTTCTAGTTTTATTTTGGGAACCAAGAATTTCGAAAAGTTCAAATAATTTTTTGCAAAAGCGTATTATTTTTTTTAATTTTCTAGTCATTTTTCTACCAAACATTTTGTCCAAATTGCTTAATTACTATGACTGTCTAATGTGCCTAAATTAAATTTTAACGTCAAATCTTTTTATCAAACCAAGCAGAAAAACTACACTAATTTGGAAACAAACTTTCCAAGCAGTAGTTTTCTAAGGATTATGGTCGGAACATTCTGTG